TCTGCCTCCCAAGTGCTGGGATTAAAGGTGTGCACCACCAATGCCCGGTTTAAGTTTTTAATTTATTATTAGTGTGTATATGTGCATGTTGTACATGCACGGGACACGTGCCACAACACACATGTACAAGTCAGAGGACTCTAGAAGTTAGAGGATCAAACTCTGGTCTTGAGGTTTCCATGGTAAACACTTTTACCTGCTGAGCCAGCCATCTCACCTGGCCCCTGTTTTGTTTTATGAAACAAGGCTTCAATGTATAATCCAAGCTGCCTTTGAACTCATGGAATCTTCCTGCCTCAAGTCCCCTGAGGAATGGGTTTACAGGTTTGAACCACATTGGCCTGAATTAATTATATACTTTAAATGAGTAAGTGTATGGTATCTGAATTATACCTCAGGACTGGAGAGATGGCTCTGTGGGTAAAAGCCCTTGCTGCTCTTGCAGAGTAAGTGGGTTCAATTCCTAGAAGCCACATAGCAGCTCAGGGAATTCCAGCTTCAGGGAATCCAGTTCCTTCTTCTGACCTCTGAGGTCACACAGTTTATGTTCATACAGAAATACATACAAAATAAAATAAATCTAAAAAAAAAATAACCAAAACTAATCCATGGACACACAAGGCAGAGGTAGGCAGATCTCTCAGTCTGAGGTCAGTAAGTGTTGTAAAAAAAAAAAAAAAGTACCCCAGAGAAGCTAGAACCCTCTTCCAGAAACGGATGGAAGCAGATGCAGAAATCCACACCTAACCATTGGACTGAGCTCCTAGAATACAATCGAAGTGAGGGAGGAGAGATAATATGAACAAAGGAGTCAAGACCATGATGGGGAAACCCACAGAATCAGCTGGCCTGAGCTAGTGAGAGATCACTGACTCAGGTCTGCCAAATGGGAAACCTGCATAAGACCGAACTAGACTTCCTTAAAATAGATGACAATGGTGTGGCTGGGACAATATATGAGGTCAGTGGCAGTGGGTCCAAGATGTAACTCCAATAAACAAACTGACTTAGTGGAGCCCATTCTATATGGAGAGATACCATGCCCAGCCTAGACATGGGGAAGGGGTATGCCTTGGTCCTGCCTCACAGAGATTTTGTGACAGACTTAGTAGACTTCCTAGGGGAGGCCTTACCTTCTCAGAGGAGCAGATGGGAGGTAGGATGGGGGGTAAGTGGGAGGGATCAGGAGGAGAAGAGGGAGGGGTAACTGGGATTGGAAAGTAAAACAATAATAAATTAAAAAAATACTAAAAAAAAAAAAAAGAAAACCAGTTTGAGCACAATATACAGTCAGTTAAAATAGTCAATGGCTGGGAAAATCTAATAAAAGCTGATTGATTAGCTGGGGGGAAAAAAGTAAATTAACAAACCCACAAATGAACAGTAAGAGGAACAAGGCTAGACTTCCATAGTATGTTCAGGCCTTTGGTTTCATTTACTGCTTCAAAAGAGAGAGGGAGGCTGGAGAGATGGCTCAGAGGTTAAGACTTCTCTTCCAGAGGATCGGGTTCAATTCCCAGAAAAAAAAAAAAAAACTTTTTTCAAGACATGGTTTCTCTGTGTAGCCCTGGCTGTCCAGGAACTTGCTTTGTAGACCAAGCTGGCCAGAGATACGCCTGCCTCTGCCTCCTGAGGGCTGACACTAAAGACTTATGCCACCATGACTGGCAAAACTCACTTTTTAAAAATTTTCAATACAGGGTTTCGCTGTATATAGCATTGGCTGTCCTGGAACACTCTGTGTAGACCAGGCTGGGCTTGAACTTAGAGATCTGTCTGCTTCGGCCTCTGGAGTGCCAGGAATAAAGTTGTGCTACTGCCCAGCCCCAAAACTTTTTTGTTGTTGTTTTTGGTTTTTGGCTTTTCGAGGCATGGTTTCTCTGTGGCTTTGGTGGCTGTCCTGGAACTAGCTCTTGTAGACCAGGCTGGTCTTGAACTCACAGAGCTCCACCTGCCTCTGCCTCTGCCTCTGCCTCTGCCTCCTGAGTGCTGGGACTAAAGACATGTGCCACTATCACCCGGCAGTAGAATCTACTCTTTTAAAAATATGTATTGTTGGGGCTGGAGAGATGGCTCAGAGGTTAAAAACACTGCTTGTTCTTCCAAAGGTCCTGAGTTCACTTCCCAGCAACCACCCGTAATGAGATCTGGTGCCTCTTCTGGTGTGTAGATATACATGGAAGCAGAATATTGTATACGTAATAAATAAATAAAATCTTTAAAAAATGCATATTGTATTTGTGTGTGTTTGTGAGATTGTTCAGTGATTAAAAGCACTTTATGCTCTTCCAGAGGACCCAAGTTCAGTTCTCAGCACCCACATCAAACAGCTTACAACTGCCTGTGAGTCCAGCTCAAGGTGAGGGTGTGGTGTCATCACCCTCTTTTTCCTCTGCAGGCCCTGTCACACATGTAGTATATACATACATAGGTACACACAGGTATACAAAAATAAAAATAAAGTGTTTCTGTTACTTCCTCCTTCGGTAAGGATTCAGGCATTATGCTGGCCTGCCCCTGTCATTTATTTTTACTATTTTAACTGCATTGGTGTTTTGCCTGCATGCATGTCTGTGTGAGGGTGTCAGATCTTTAAGTTACAGACCCTTGTGAGTCAACTTGTGGGTGCTGGGATTTTGAACCCAGGTTCTCTGGAAGAGCAGTTAATGCTCTTAAATCATTGGGCCATTTCTTCAGCCCCTTGTTTGTGTTCCTTTTTTTCTTTTTGGTTTTTTGAATCAAAGTTTTTCTGTAGCTTTTGGAGCCTCTCCTGGAACTCACTCTGTAGATCAGGCTGCTCTTGAATTCACAGAGATTTACCTGTCTCTGCCTCCCCAGTTCTGGGATTAAAGGTGTGTGCCACCATGGCTTGGCCTTGTTTGTGATTTTTTTTTTTCGAGACAGGGTTTCTCTGTGTAGCTTTGGAGCCTATCCTGGCATTCGCTCTGGAGACCAGGCTGGCCTCGAACTCACAGAGATCTGCCTGCCTCTGCCTCCCAAGTGCTGGGATTAAAGGTGTGCGCCACCAACGCCCAGCTAACAGTCCTGTTTTTAACATTTGACCAGTCAAACAATTAAGATTCAGCAAGCCAGTCTCAGATCACAAGGTCAGATCACTGACACAAGGAGAGCTGGCATGTCTCAAAGGGCAAAGGTGCAGAGGGTGGGCTTGGGAGCCAGGTTCTGAAGGAGACCTTGGGCGCCCCCCCCCCCTACCTTTCCGAAGCGGCCCTAGTTCTTTGAACTACATTTCCCAGAAAGCCATGAGAGTAGCCACCTGCGTAAACCACGTATACATGTGCCACTGGCAATTCTGGGAATGGTAGTTTTTTATGTGTCTAGTGCGTGGCTAGGGAAGGAGGCCCTCATGGAAAACCTCCCATTGTCTAGCTTGATTTCTTTGGTGGGGCTGGAGAGTGGGGCGCAGGAGAATTGAGAAGCAGGTCTCCTATTGCCATCTAACCGAGAGCACGCAGTACCTGTTTCATGAATGTTTCCCATGGCTGAAATCTTCTCCGGCTTCAGCGCA